CATTGGTGTGAAACAATAAGAAAGAGGTAAAAAGTCGAGAAACAGCTTTCTACATTCAATCGAACCATTGACCAACAGAGTTCATAGTCAGCGTCTGTCCCCGTGATTCGGTCATAATAATGTGGAACATAAGCTCTCTCTCTCTCTCTCTCTCCCTCAGCCCCAAAGAATGTTCCCCTTGGCTCCAGTGATGCCTGGCCCTTCTAGTCCTGTCTGAATCGCATTCGAACAGTTGTTGGTCGCTCCAGATCCAACTTACAAAAATGAGGTTAGGCCACTGATGATGATCCCAACTGGCAATTATAAATTATGGGGCATCTTCTAGTTTGGGACAATCTTGAAGATTCGTGCACACTTAACGACCTTGTAATCTTAACATCCCAGGCAAAGCTCCGTGTGCAACGCTGGATGGGTGTGGTTTAGCGACTGGATAAGAAGAAACTTATTAGTTTTCAAGGTGGTTATACCAAGTGTCCTTGCTTTTTGTATCATTAAAACAGTCGAGCAAGGTGATTGCTGGATACGAAAAACATGGCCACGAGTTTAACATTGGCGAGAAAAATGTTTTAAACAGGCTGCTAGTTAATCTTAGAAAGGTTTTGCTTCCCTCATTGAATATCAAGTTTGGACTAATGAAGCAGTTTGTGAAAGCCTTGGGCCAAGATGGTAACTGTTTCAAATGTTTAAGCAGAAAGTAGTTAGCCTCGTTTTGTTAGAAAATTAAGGCTGCCCTTGATTTGGTGTGAGGAACCCACTCTCAAAGTTTGTAAAAATATTTTGATATGCCCTATATATATATATATATATATATATATGTATATATATATATATAAGAGAGAGAGAGAGAGAGAGAGAGAGAGAGAGAGAGAGAGTGAGAAATAGTTAGATCCAATTAGATAGATAGAGAGATAGAACGAAGAGGATAAAAAACAGATAGATATTGTCAAATAGATAGATAGATAGATAGAAGATAGAAGAGGATAAAACAGAGATAGATATTGTCAAATAGATAGATAGATAGATAGATAGATAGATAGATAGATAGATAGATAGATAGATATACCGATGTAGATAACTAAATATAGCCAAATAGATATATAGACAAATATCACCAGATAGATAGATAGATAGATAGATAGATAGAGTCAAGTAGATGGCCAGAGATATAAAGATAACCACACTGACTGACTGATAGAGAAATAGACAGATAGACAAATAAGAAATGATAAATATAATTAACATGGAGGTGAATTGCAAAGACAAGAACAAAAACAAATGACTGATTTGTCTGTTTTAAATAGTAACCACCATAACAATCACTACTAAATTATCTTTACTAAGTTGTTTTCAGAGCCTCTCTCTATTCTACTATACAAAAGAACACTGCATTGACTGGACTCTTATCGTTCTTTCCTCTGCTATAAGCTTAAGGTTACTCGTGTGTAATCTCTTATCTATCAACCTATCAAAATGGGAAATCAATTTTCTAGGCAACACCTATTAGTTCAACAATGATCCTTTCCTCTTTATCATCATAAAAAAATAAATCAAGTACTCTGTTCCCATCAGTTTTACAGGCGCAATTGCTTTCGCAATATCCGGAAAAATACCGAAAGAATATTTTAGTATTTTCTAGGCAATGAACTTTATCGGCAATCAAGTGTTTCGTTTTTATATCGTTTTTTTGAAAGAACTACGACGGAAATAGTTTGTCCTGAGTATGACGATGAACTACATCCGGCAGTAAGACCTCTGATCGGGACTCTGGAAGTTTTAAGGAGGGCAGAACAACCTTTTAATTGCTGTTGTTCACAGATCTACTCTGGCATGGGATCTTAGCAACTATTAGGGTCCTAGCTATGGGCAAATAACAAATCCTCAAACAACAACAACAACAAAAAAAAAACTATGAAAGTATAAAAATACATTTTTATAGGAAAAATACCAGTAATACATATAAAAATACATATTTATAGTAAGATAATAACACTACATTTTATAGTAGAATTAGCAGCAATACATTTTATAGTACAATTACCAACATTACATTTTCTAGTAGATTTAACAACGCTACATTTTATAGTAGAATTACCAACACTAAATTTTATGGTAGAATTAACAACACTACATTTTATTGTAGAATTAACAACACTATATTTTATAGTAGAATTAACAAATATAGATTTTATAGTAGAACTAGCAGTATGGCCCGGCGTTGCCCGTGCTTGATTCAAAAATCGTACGACTCATACAGCAATCGCTATCACTTGACTTAAAATGTTTTTGCTCTTCCTTGCCTTTAAAGGAGTGCCCTTTGCCGTGCTGATGTTGCTACATACCTTACTTCTTGCCTATCTCACACTGCAAATTTAAAAAAAATTTAAATCTGTTACGAAAAAGAACTAAACAAAATGAACACAAAACGATCAGCTTTAAAAAAAGGACTCGTAACTGAAAAAACCGAATGGAAAAAGAATGTTAACAACAAATACTTTTTCACACCTAACCCAGTTCTGCGGAATCAGAATCACCGTTGAGTTTAAGCAAGCAAATGAGCCAATTGGAGTAAAGTGCCATGCAGATGTAAATTTTTCCCACTTGTGACGAATGCAGCTATCGATTTTTTTGCATGCTAGTTAACCTTCGTGTCAATCAGCTGTTGGCTCTCACGCTGCCTAATAGAATCTTCCTGCCTATTCGTGGCAGCCAGCGATTGGCTCTCACTCTGGCCAGTACAAAATGGCCGCAAACTACATGAAACTGACGTAGAAGCATGAAAAAATCGATTATTTCCACTATCGATGTAAATTGGGAAATGCAAAGTCGGTCTTGGCCTTCCCGCTAACTTGGAGCATGTGCATGTAAATCTTGGTGCAAATCTGTCGAAAATTGCGGCCGTGCATTTGCTACACACACACACACACACACACACACACATCCTGCCTTTTATAGATAGAGATTACCAGTAATAATTTTATCAGTAGTTGAAGTCAGACAATTTCGTACAAAATATATTTACTTTAAGCATAAAATTGTGTTCAATATTTTTAGATTTTGGTATTAAATAATCCATAGAGGTGTTGATATGCCGCTAAACCAAACCATTTAACCAACCAAATAACCGACCAATCGACGAAAACAGTAGTCTGAAAAAAAAATTGTTCTTTATCAAATCACTGTGGCATTTTATATCTAACGTTCATATCGCCTGGTTTCTTGTAATTATAAATAAGATATACCACAATTACTCATATAACCACCAGTAGGAATGTCTTATTAGTAAGTAGGTGAGATCAGGCTGCTGATACGTTGTTGTTATTTAGTTGTTTCGTGATGGTTTTCATAATTTAAATGAAAACCAAGATGGAAAAGAGACAGCAAATTTAGACTATGCCGAGAGAGAAATGAAACTGTCAATCATATTCTTAAGGAATGCAGAAGGTTTTTTTTTATTTACTAAAATTTCGCCCCCAAAAAGAAAATAACTGAGAGATATCTGATCAGGAAAACGAGGTGACCCATAAAATTTCGTTATGTCGCAAAATTATCGGATGGCCAAAATTTGGGTTAAATTCAAAATAAAATTCCAAGATTTTGATTGAATCTTTTCTTGGATAATTTCCATACGTTGTTGCAAGTTCTGGAAAAGAAATACAGAAAATATGGAAAATCCAACATGTTATGAGATTTTAAAATGACTTCTGTGACAACGAAAATACATGGATGTCAATGAAATCCGCACATCAGCGAAACACCCACGCACCCTTGACTTTAAGAAAATATGTCATTTTATTCTTTGTCGACAGAGAGAAGGCCGCTCTGATTTTGAAAAGCAAGACAATTGAAGTAAATGCATAGGTAGCCGTAGATCTCTCTCTCTCTCTCTTTCTGTCTTCTGCTACTAACTCTGTCCCTGCGAAACCTTTTCCCTCTATTTTTACGGTGCTTTCTTCGACTGTTGCCACGCCATTTCTATCTTGACTGTCTGGAATATATAGGCTTTTTATTTCGTAGTTCAAATAAGCCGGATTCTCCCTTCTTTCAGTTAAGACTTATCAGCCACTTCAAATTCTACCTTCATCTAGGGTCACTTTAGAAATTCAACAGCAGAGACTACAATCATTAAGAGGTCACATACACCATCTATTAGTACAGTTCAATGTAAATGTATGTTATACTATATGAACAAAAATGTCCGTGGAAACTCGACACATGAGGCGGGTAACGTGTATAAAGTAAATTTTATCATTAAAATCTTCATTCTGTTACCAAAAAGAAATGTTGGTGCAAATAAATTATCTACAACTGTGAATATTTATGAAAAGTAATCCAACGTGCAGTTTACAAATTAGGGATGCCAAAAGTACACTTTAAATATCTGAGAAATGTTATAAGAGAGAATGGAAAGTGTGACACCGAAATCCGAAGGCGCAGTGGGATAGCGAAAGATACCTTCTAAAAGCAAAGCAAAGTATTATGAAACAAGAAAATTTCGTTAGAAACATAAAAAAGATTACTGGCCTTTTACATAATATCAGTGCTTTTATATGGCAGTGGCTGCTGGACAATCACTTCACAGATCAATAAGAGCAACAGATATGGTGTTCTACTGAAGGATGATGAGAATTCTATGAACTATGATAAAATAAAACTCTTTTTATCCTTTCCCATCCTAATGATGCAAAAAAGAAATAAAATAACACGATTATAGATTATTAGAGAAAATGGAAACAAAATGGACAGTTATACTTAACATCAGAAAAAGATGGTTGAAATTTCTGGGGCTCATAATGAGGAAAGAGAGCCTGGAAAATTTGATACTCACAGGGTCAGATTGAAGGCAAGAGGTACAGGGAAAAACATCGCATAACCTACATAACGAACTTGAGTAAATGGTTGGTTTAGGAGAGATAACAAAAAAGACAACATTTATTGAGACTTACAACGGACACAAAACTGAGGTGAGCCATGATTGCTAACGTTCTGAACGTTTACGGCACCTAGAAGAAGAAGAAGAAGAAGAAGAAGAAGAAGAAGAAGAAGAAGAAGAAGAAGAAAAAGAAGAATGAGAAGACGAAGAAGAAGAAGAAGAAGAAAAAGCAGACGAAGAAAAAGAAGGAGCAGACGAAGAAGAAGAAGAAGAAGAAGAAGAAGAAGAAGAAGAAGAGGAAAGAAGAAGATGAAGAATCTGTGCTTTGCTAAATCAGCAAATACAAAACCACGTGGAAACGGATGGCCGTCTCTATTCGTCTATTTACATTTCGTAAATGCCAATGTATTATTTAATTTCTACATTTCTTCTTTGACTAGTTTATATTTCATCTTATTAATGTTGCTTTTTTGTTATTGGTTCGCTCAAATTGTTTCTCATTATGTGACAGTTAAATAAGTAGAAGGGATTGGAAATAAAGGAATAGACGCCAATGAGGTTTGAACTCGCAATCCTTTCACATGAAAGACGCCTTTAGCGATGTCAGATGAGAGGATGAGAGTTCAAATGATGAAGTGAAATATTTTACGTTTCACTCTCAATTTACAATATTTATAGTTGGATTAGTGGAGAGCGGCTCGGAAGAGCTGGAGTTCAAATTCCAGTCTAGTCTGTTACGATCATTTACATGTAGATACCCTTGGGAAGGCTATGAATCCATTTCTTCTCTCCTCAGTTATGGGTAAAATATTAACACAGACTGAGTCCTATAGACTTGGGCGGCAGCCGGTCTAGGAGAAGAGAAAACTTTGAATTGAAAACCAGCCTAGAGAGGGTTGGGTTTGATCAGGATGTCTTATCCAAGGCACACCGCTGCTACTACTGCCACAGGACATGTGGTTTGCCTATGACCCTAATGGATTACGTGTCTCGTGATCATGATCGCCTTGTTCTTTCTAAGAGGATTAAAGCGTTAGATAAGACGATGTTCAGTCCCTGGCACGAGTAGTACAGATTTAGACTCAGTAGCAGCAGAAGCAGATATGTCTGAGAAGATATATATATAAGAAAAAAAGAAAACGGGATATCCCTAGACATAGACAGTGGGATAAGAGCAGTTTATCCCTGCAGGTTAAAAAAGTGTTCAGCTCGAAATTACCTGAAAATTACCCGGATAGGCAGACAGGATGATGGGTGCGACGGCAGACAAGACGATGGGGCGCGACGACAGACAATATGATGAGCGCGACGGCAGACAGGGCGATAGGCGCGACTGCAGATAAGACGTTGGGCGCGATGGCAGGCAGGACGATAGGCGCGACTGAAGACAAGACGATGGACGCGACGGCAGACAGGACGATAGGCCTGACGGATAGGCACGGCAGGCAGGACGATTGGCGGTGCGTGATGCCAAACAGGACGATAGGCGCTGCAAATAAGACGATGGGCGCGACGGCAGGCAGGACGATAGGACGATGGGCGCGACGGCAGAAGACGATAGGCGATGGATAAAACGCGACGGCAGGACAGGAAGACGATAGGACTAGGCTGACTGCAAATAAGACGATAGGCGCGACGGCAGGCATAAGGCAGATAAGACGATGTGCGGATGGCAAACAGGACGATAGGCGCTACTGCAAATAAGACGATGGGCGCGACGGCAGGCAGGACGATTGGCGCGATGGCAGACAGGACGATGGGCGCGACGGCAGACAGGACGATAGGCGCGACTGCAGATAAAACGTTGGGCGCGATGGCAGGCAGGACGATTGGCGCGACTGAAGACAAGACGATGGACGCGACGGCAGACAGGACGATAGGCGCGACTGCAAATAAGACGATAGGCGCGACGGCAGGCAGGACGATTGGCGCGATGGCAGATAAGACGATGTGCGTGATGGCAGACAGGACGATAGGCGCTACTGCAAATAAGACGATGGGCGCGACGGCAGGCAGGACGATTGGCGCGATGGCAGACAGGACGATGGGCGCGACGGCAGACAGGACGATAAGCGCGACTGCAGATAAGACGATGAGCGCGATGGCAGGCAGGACGATGGACGCGACAGCAGAAACGTTATAATAATAGCAAAAAAAGATGAGGATTTTTAGATCAACTGTAAATGATATAAAATTGATAACTTCCTGTCGCATAGACTTAAAGTAAATCGTCCCAGTTATGTACAGCTTGAAAATGGACAGGACGATAAATCCAAGACAAATGTAAGAAATATATCGCAGCGTTTGCAAAACGTTGAAGTACTTACACGTCAGTTACAAGCAACTGTTTCCCAACGTAAGCTGAATGTTCATATATTTCTGTGCGCTGAGTCGGATTCTGTAGGCATTTGCACGTAATTGTCTATAGAAATGGGTGAGTGTGTTTTTATATCAATGTGTAATAGGAAAGAATTTAACAGGTCTGTGGGTGTGTTTGTGTGTACGTTGGATTGGTGAATATGTGAATTTCAGTGAATTCAGTGTGTTTGTCTGTCTGTCTTTTTGTCTGTAATGTTTGATCACGGGATGGAGAACGTTGTGTCGACTGGTATTCATCCGAGAGAGAAAAAAAATCAAATAAAGATGGTGAAATTGTATGCCTCTGTGTGTAGAACTAACGCGTACTTTATGTAATGAGCTTCCGAACGAGACAGGGTTGTGGGTAGAGACTTAGGAAATGTTTCTGTCGAAGTATCTTTTGTGACTAAGCGTTTTAAAGTCCATTTACACAGGAGCCATTTTCTGTTCTTTTCTCTCTATTTTTTTTGTAATATACTTTTTTCTCTCATTTTTTTTTACTGTCTGTATTATTTTCCGAAGAGAAAGTTCAATATTGTTATTTTTTAAAATGTCCAAAACCCTTCCTTTTTGTTACATCTCATTTCTTTTTCTTTTCTCTCCCGTTTTATTTTCATTTGTTCTTTCTCTGTTTTTTTAATGCATTTTATTGACATTTTTGCCTTTTTTACTTTTGACATTATTTTTTTAATCTTCTTTTTTTCCTTTTCTCTCTATCTCTTTATCTCTCTTTTTCGCTTTCTACCCCTTTTAATACCCGTCTACCTGCTGCTGGTACGAGGAACAAGAGAGTGATTAAGTAATCACACTAGAAAACATAAAAATTTTAAAGATCTAAAAGAAAGGAACGATTTTGCACCTCATAGAATCGAAGTGTTGTAGTTCTTATGTCAATTTCACTTTAATTATCATTCGCATCATTCGGGATAGTAGCTGTTCTTGTTACCATGAAGATGGCATTGGTTATTAATTTTTATTCTGTTGAGTTTTTATTTTTGATAGTGTTTCCTTTTTTCTGTATTTTGTTATACTTTGTTACTTATTTTGTTACATATTTTGTTACCTTTTTTCTGCCATTGCAACTGCTGCTGTTACAGTTTGCTTTTTACTTTCTTTGGACTGTTTTGCCTTGTTATGATGCTTATTTGTTTGCCTTCGGTTGCACTTTTAAATCTTTCTCTAAGAGACATTATTTCGCTTCTTTCTTTCGTTTTTGTCTTCTTCTTCTTCTTCTTCTTCTTCTTCTCCTCCTCCTCTTCTTCTTCTTCTTCTTCTTCTTCTTCTTCTCCTCCTCTTCTTCTTCTTCTTCTTTGTCGTTCTCACTGTTTGTTGAATAACATTTTCTTCTATAATACATCCTTTTCTCTACTTTCTTTTACTTCTTCATAGTTAACAAGTTTTATCCTCCTCCTCCTCCTTTTCATATATTCTTTTTCTTTATCTTTTCCTTCACTGCTTGCTCTTTTTTCTTTTTTTCCATTTCCTTAATTCTTCTTCTTCTTCTTCTTCTTCTTCTTCTTCTTCTTCTTCTTCTTCTTCTTCTTCTTCCACTATTTTCTAAAAAGCCAACATTCTAATTGCTATATTCCATTTTCGAAAATTTCTTTATTGTTATTACATTTTCCGGCGCGGTTCTGTGTTGGCTGCCATCTTTAAAATGAAGCTGCTTTTCTCAACAGCCAAAATAATAGCCTTCGTTTCCCAATGTCACCCAACGGCAGGGAATGTAAAATTAGCGCTGCAGAGACTAAAAAGCAACTTTTGTCGAGTCAAACAGGGTTCTCGGAAGAATTTCAAAGTTAGAGCTTTTAGCTGCATTGAATATCTATCAATAACGAATAATATATATATATATATATATATATATATATATATATATATATATATATTTGTGTGTCTCTGTGTGTGCCTCTATGTGTGTTTTAACCTAGAAAGGGTTACTGAAAGAGGAATAACCAAAACGGAGGTTGGAAATGAAATGATAAGCTTTATAACATCAACAAAATACAATACTCGCCAGTGGCGTGAAGTAGGTAAGCCACTGCTAGTGGTGGACTACTTAGACAGTATATTAACCCCACTTACAATAGTGTCCAACGTATTCATGAGGTTGGGACATATCCATTAGTGTACATAGGGTACGCTGTATAACAATATGTTTACTATATTGCACGATAGCGTGTATAGATAAGGGGTGGTCATCCGGAACAAAGACTTGTTCTGGAGATAGCATTGGAATGTGTAACTGACAGTCGACATACAGTCTTGATTTCTATGTCCACACTGTCAGTCTGTTTGTCTGCATGTGTCGATTTATAGACGGAATTAATGAACCTATAAACATAATACTCACACACACGGATGCGCGCGTGCGCGCACAAAACAGTTCAACTCTGCCCAACCATGCATAAAGGAAAAATAATAAGGAGTAGACGAGAGACTTACCTTAATTCAGAAGGAAAAATTATGCTCGCAACACAGAAAAGGGAGGGGAAATTCGATACAAAAAACCCTAGATCAGAGGAGAAAGACAACCCAGAAATGTCCAAGACACTACATTGCTAGGACTAAAGATGTCGCAACATTGAGAGAAACGTCCAGTTAGAGCAAATAGAAATAAAGCGATCTTAAGACAGCTCAAAGAAACATCTTTGAACCGTTCATTCCGAGTAGCGCAATACGGTATACGAGTTTACAGAGAACAAAAAACAGAAATCTACTCGGAGTGGATCAATTTAAAATTCAACAGACACCAACGGCTCTAATAAATAAAAGAACAATAAAAACTAAAATCTATCTGTTTTCTTGTCGTTGGATCTTATAAGGTAATTTAATTTATTATCCTGCTTAACTTAAAAAAAAGAAAAAATCAACGCCCCTTCCTGACACACTATTTCATCTTTCATTCAGACCTGAAGACGATAAATCTAAAACACGCGTTGACGAAACGGGTTGTCATTTATAAAAGCTTTAATCAAAGGCGATCGCTTTTCTATTCTCTGTTAAAACGCTTCTCAGATATTTAAAATTCTGCACCCGCTGGATGTTTATATCTCCGATTCGTAACGTGCATCTTATGCTTTTACTCTTGCCAATGACCATATTTTCTGTCTTCTTGCAGTCGATAGTTAGTCCTTTTCTTGCTTTCATTCTCCACCCAGTGTGGAAAGTCCTGTAGCTTTCTTTCTGAGTCGGCCATCATCATTCTGTATCTTATGTCCATTGATATATATATATATATATATATATATATCGTTAGGTAAACAAAGAAAGAAAGAAACTAGAAAGCGAAAAAATTTACAAAAGAATCGTAGGTAAATAAACAGACACAAATTGTTTGATAACTTTGGAAAAAAGGTAGCTGGACACATATATCTATCCATCTGACTCTGACTCACTCTCTCTCTCTCATATATATATATATATATATATATATATATATATATATATATATATATATATATATATATATATATATATATATTTATATAGTTTTAAGGTATGGCATATTTATGGGAAAAGGTTTTTAAATCAGATTTAGGGCATATGTAAATATAAAAGTGGACACTGAGGCCAACACATCCTTGAATGCAACCTTCAGGTCTCTCTCTCTCTCTCTCTCTCTCTCTCTATATATATATATATATATATGAAATGGAGAAAGTCCGACAAGTAAATGCTCTGTTTATAATAAACAGTATTAACAACATTTAACGGCTTGAATGTCCGAGAAATTGTTATAGAAAATATGTGTCCTCCGACCGGAATCGAACCTGTATCCTATACAGAACCGTCATATAGCCTGGCGTGCTTTTACCGATTGAGCTACAGAGGACCGTTTCGGTTAGCAAAGTCGATTTTACTGTTTTTAAACTACAATTTTCTATGATTATCTCTCGTACATTTATATCTGCTCAATGCGTATCTCAGTGTAAACAAATGACGTCACACATTATGAAATAGACAAAGTCCGACAATTATTTTAAGACATTTTTATGTTTATAGATTCTTTTTATCGATATAAATATTTAAGTAAATGCTCTGTTTATAATAAACAGTATTAACAACATTTACCGGTCTGAATGTCCGAGAAATTGTCATAGAAAATATGAATGTATAAACATAAAAATGTATAAACATTAAAATGTCTTAAAATACATACATATGTATACATATTATATTCATATTATATTCAAGCATGAATAATATAGGCATATTATGTTTACTCATTTTTATAATAATCCTTTCTAGTTCTCTAGTCAGTTTGTGGATGTTAAAATAAAATTCATCAAGGAAGGCGTCGTAGTTTTTTCCTACTCATACTCAGGGGTGAATTACAAAATGGCATTAAGTGTTGATTAAATGCATCTGACATGTTGCTGCTACAATAAATTTCTAAAAATTTCTGGTTAGGTTCCTTATATTCGGATGCTTATTTTGAAAAAAAAATACCATAGCTACAGTGAATAAATTTAAAAAAATATATAACAGAGGACGCTCACGCGTGTTTTTAAAAATCACTATCAAAACGATCACAGTAACAAAAAGTTTGTCTTCGCAGTTCACCCCTGAGCATGATCGCGAAAGTACTTGGGTAGGAAAAAACTACGGTGCCTTCGTTGATGAATTACATCTTAACACCAAGAAACTTATTAGAGAACGAGAAAAGATCATTGTAAATTAAATAGACATAATATGTCTATAGTATTTAATGAAACGTGTTTGAATGAAGATATGCTTTGACATAGAAAATGTTACTCTAATTAAAAAAAAAGAAAGTAATTCATTAAGACGAAAATGTCTAGAAAGTGCTTTTATCGCTAATTCATCAACAGTGAATTTACATCGAGGTTCTTGCAACATTTCACAATTCTTGGCACACTTTCTGTTATCACAATGTACGATATTTAATTACAAAGATGATGGAGAGAAATAGAAAAGTAATGTAGATGAATTTGGCTAGACTGCAAAAATCATTTAAAATAATTCTTAAAAAACACATATATATAAAAATATATATATATATATATATATATATATATATATATTGTATGCGTCTATTTGTGTGTGTGTGTTCTTGCATTAGTTATACTTGCCATTAATTACATTTTAATATTTTTCTTTCTATTTAAACCAACTATTTTAATTCGCAACCAGAGATAAAGCCAGAATAGTAATTAATATGCCCTAGGGACTTCTGATCATCCATTTTTATTGCGTTACAAAGTAAAAGAATAGCCGAGTGAGGAGACGATGCATACAACGATTACCAGCACAGATCGAGCTCCCTAACCAGAAGTCTTGATATATGTTTATTAATCGGTACATTTTGAAACTACCACTTCAAATTATGCCATGACATGATAGGTCAACGGGGCCGCAACACGTATAACATTTGTTGGCGCTATTTAATTTCCTCGTCAATGTCCATCTTTCTTTTTAATCATTTCACCCCAAGCAAGGCTGTAACGCCACTGAGACGCAAGGTAATATTGAGGCTGAAAGTAAATGTGAAGACTTTAGGAAAAAGAACCGGGAACCCATTTCTATACAGGAAAGAAGGATAAACCCTTGCGCTTTTTAAAAAAACTAAGAGTGTGAACCGGGCGACAGACTCTCCAAATAACAAATAATTAGTTAAGGAAGGATTCATCCCAATTATTTTATTTTTATTACTAATTCAAAGGCCACTCAAGGTAGAGAATTACTGGATGAGGCGTGTGATATAGACAGGAAGAGATGGTATAAAGTGAAGATTATGATGATATGGAGGATAGATAACGATAGACTCTTGACTTGAAGAAATATTAAGAATGTAGTGCTCAGGGAAGCATCCAAGCAGGAGCCTGTTCTACACAGTAGAGGTTCTTGTGAAAAAGCTGCCTAAGGGGAACTTCCTTCTTACAAGTGGAATACAGGCAGATTGAGGGCTGTTCCACATTGTGAATGTAGTAAGGCTGGTTTTAGGTGTAAAGGTCTGAACTGGTGGCACTAAAGAATGTAGCTAGTCTGAACATTGGTCATGGAGTTAACAATAGTGTAACGGTAGATTCTTTTTTGGATATTGTCAGGAATCTAGAGATATATATCACCAGTCGACATGTGACAGCAATGCACGGACTAAGACAACATTTTTTAACGTGCGAGATTGATCCTGGCAAGAAAAATTGTCTGTCGCGACACAGTAAACTAAACTTTCCAGCAACAGGCGTAAAAAGTAAAAGAAAAAGATTGATTTTAATTGATTATTTAATGATGGAGGTTCTTAAATTTGTCATGCTAATTTTATTTATTTATTTTTTAAATTATAATTAGTGTAGTCGGAACGCTGTGTATTCCTCTTTCGGACGTGTTGTCATTTTTGCTTTTTTTGTGGATGTCTTTGTTTGCGGATGATCGTTGGGCTATTGGCGCCAGATATTTCACGGTGATTTCGCTTCGTCCTCGTTACACCAATTTATCTTGCTTTCCTTCCATAATTTAGCTTTTCACCGGTGCAATTGCCATTCGTTAACCTCAGCTTGTTTGACCTGACCCACATAGAGATTCAAAACGATTAATTTGTTTTTTTTTCTTGCACAAGCCCAGGGGAAAGAGATTAGAAAGATTGTTACACCAGACTTCCGAGTCGAGTTCCACCCAAAGCAAGCTCCAATTGAAACTTACTTAATAACACCTTCCGATGCTGTTTTGCTTTTTTTTTTTTTTTTAACAAGATAAAATTTTGGGGTCTGAATTTTTTGTGCACGCGCTTTTGGAAGATAAAGGATGGTACTTACGGATGTAATGACGGCTAATTAGCATTTGCAAACAACAAGCAATGAAACGCTATTATATTTGAACGAGGGGAATCTTAAATGGGGAAACACGGTGACACCATCCCGATGTAAGATACTTTATCCGCATCTGCGACGTCGAAAATGGTCACACAAACACACACACACACACACACACACACACACACACACACACACACACACACACACACACAACTTAAAAAAAAAGACTGGATTTGTCTCAAACATGGTATCTACAAAATAACGTTTTTAGTGGTAGGGTATATATATATATATATTATAATAATATTTTTTGTTTAAAAATATGATTCCTTCGCTACATAAGAGTTCTCATGTTTCAAAAAACGAGAGCCGAAATATCCAAATAATTATTAGGTTTGAAAGATTGTGGAGAAGAACCCGTTTCATCTTCAAGCGAAATTTTAGAATCCTAAAATTTTAGGTTCCTAAAATTTCGCTTGAAGATGAAACGGGACTAAACACCACAATCCAACTTAATTGAAAGAGCTCCAACAACGGGTGGCACATTATCATGCAATTTAAAATGTCGCATGAGGCCGCTTCTGTACCCGAATATATTACCACAAATATTATATTTCAATGGCTGGACGTCTACGGTTTTATAGTCAATTGCCACCTCCTGTCGGTGCGCTCTCAAGTGACTCCTTAGACCAACCATCGACAAACGCACTCTACCATAATCTTGGCACGTCAGATCGTGCTGCCTGCGAGTGTCTTCAGGAAGTTCAGCGGTGATGCCTTTACGCACATCTCTTTTAAGCTTTGCATGCCTCCTTTTCTCATCTTCAAAGTCAAGCCTTTCACTACTAGCAGCCACATTCCAATTATTGCGATCAGATGTACATTCCTCCCAGTGCTCACAAGGAATGTCTTCAACGCATCCTTTCAGTCCTTAAAGCGCATCTTAGGTTTGACGGCATTTCTCTTCCCTGTTCTCAGCTCAACATAAAACAATTGCTTTGGAATGCGGCTGTCATCCATTCAGACGAATGCATACATACATACATACATACATACATACATACATACATAGATACATGATGGTAATATTACTATACATACATATATTAAAATACATACATAATGGCAATATTAGCTGTTTCCCTACAAGGAAACATTTGGCATTCATAGACCAAGCCTCTTTCTCTTAAAACATTTTATAAGAAAATAAGTTTCTCAAATCCAGTATGTATATAAAACAGAACGGATAGAGAATATCTATTATGAAATTTTGTGAAATTCTTCTGGTTTGGTTTGGTTTATTTTGTTTTACGGCATATGAACATATCGTTGGGTTATTTAATGCTGACAAGATTTTTCGGACAGATCCGTATAAATAGAATATGTATTGTTTGTAGGAAATCACTTTATTGATCAGGTTTTATTGACATATTTTAATAAAGAGTTTTTTTTGTTCTAGAGTCAAATGTATTGCTGGTAATATTTTTTCTCAAACATGTATTGCTGGTAATATTTTTCAACTATGAATTGCTGGTATTTTTACTATGAAAATCTATTTTTATTCGTCCATAGTATTTTAACCCCTGTTTGGGGCTTAACTATTTGGCCATAGCTGAGATCTTAACAGGTGCTACCGTCCCGGTTCAAAGTGAACCTGGGAAAAACAGCAATTAAAGGGTTAAATTCTTCTGGTGTGAAATAAGCTACTTATCTCGTCTGTCTAGTTTTTCTTTGAAAATACTCCAAACATTACACACAATTTCGGCAACTTCATTTACATGTTTCCATCTGACATCTTCAACAACAGGATAAACTCACCAACAAGCCATATTAAAGCGAATGATTGTTGCCTAAATATACTTTGTTTAATATAAACGTAATTGATATTTACTACGAGGGAAAATTAGGGGAGAAATATTTTGCTGCAGATTGTTTAAGGCGAGACTGTCTGACTGCCATGAAAATCTGCATTCCATATCGAATTTTTCCTAAGTTCAGCTACAAATGTCCGTTTGAAATCCTCTACTGCCTCAGCCATAAAATTCACTTAGTATTTACGAAAGTTAATAAGACACAAAATGGAGAGCTTTCTTTTTTCTTCGAAAGATTTCAAAATCTTTTCTTTTTACTTGGTTATGCACACACGTCTGTCTCAGATTGTAAATATGCAACTATTTTAACCACCTGACATGCCCCTGATATTCACATCTCCAAATAAACCTCAGTATGAAAATTATGGAATGGGAGAGTGGAAAAGGGTTATTCTATCTTCGCCTCGAAAATCAGCCTTCAAATCCTGGCTTTTATTTCTTGGGCTCGAAAATCGAATCCGCGGTATTAAATACGCAACACTTTCAACCACAAGGTAGACACACAGAATGAACAGCAGAGGACAGGATAGCATGTTTTGTTTTTGTAATATTTCTCTGCTTTTTTGTTTGCTTTTCTAGTTTGAAATCTTAAATGTTTTATTATTTTGTATTTATTTTCTTGCTCTTCTAAAAAAAAAAAAAAAAGGAAGGAAAAAAACAAACAACACAATATTGTGATTCTTGTCTTTTCTGCCAGACATTTACAATTGGAGGTTGACCTTGTATTTAGCCAGAAAGTTGAGGCAGTTTGAGTCAATTTAAACTGTTTTAGAATGTAATAAGTTTCTTTTATGTGTCCACTGGGCGCTTTTTGTTGGCGTTTATCTGTTTTTATTATAAAGTGTCTTCCTTTTTATTACAGAGTGAAGTTTATTTTATGGATAGTGGCGTTTTTCTTTTGCAAATCTTTTTCACCAAAGACGAAAGTCATTGTTGAACACGCAAGAGACATTAAGAGTAAGAAGGAATGAGAGAGAGAGAGAGAGAGAGAGAGAATTAGAGAGAAAATTAGAGTTGAGAGGGTGAGAGAAAAAGAAATAAAACATGTCAATGGATGGAGGTAAGGAGAGAAAAAGAACGAATGACTGAAAGGAAGGCCGATACTGAAATTAGAGAGAGAGAGAGAGAGAGAGAGAGAATAAGAATTAGACTGAGAAAATTAGAGTTGTGGTAGGAGAGGGTGAGAAGGTGTGAAAAAGAAATAAACATGTCAATGGATGGAGGTAAGGAGAGAGCGGTAAAAGAACGAATGTAAATGAAAGGAAGGCCGATACTGATAGAAAGCGATAGAGAGAGAGAGAGAGAGAGAGAGAGAGAGAGAGAGAGAGAGAGAGAAATGGCAATGGATGAAGGTAGAGAGAGAGAGATGAAAGGAGAAATGGAAATGAGAGATAAAAGGCTGACAGTGATAGAAAACGAGAAGTGGAGGTAGAGAGAGAAAGAAAACACATGGCAATGGAGGGAGGTAGGGAGAGATACGTGAAAGAGGGAATATAAAAGAAAAAAAGAAAGGCCGACGCTGATCGTAAACGAGAGAGAAAGACAAGGAAAGAGAGATAGAGAAATGGAGTGAGAATGAAAGAGAGTGCGTGGAAGATGAGAAAGAGGGGGAGAAATGAGTGAGAGATGATGAGAGAGTGAATGAAAATTAAAGAGAGGGGGTTAGTGTGAATGAGGGTGACAGAAAAGAAAAGTGGTTGGGCGAAAGAACTGAGATAAAATGACAATGATGATGCATATCGAGTGTGAAAAAGAGACGAAGAGAGCGAAAGAAAGAGAGAGAGGGGGGATGGGAGAAAGAGAATAAGAGAAGGAATGGAAATGAAGGAACCGATGATGGCGATAAAGAGAGAGAGAGAGGAATTCAGCCAGAGGCAGAGTGACAAACAATAAAAGCGGTAACCCGAGAGAAAGATGTGAGAGTAGGTGAATGATAGATATCGATGTAGAGGTAGAGAGAGCGAGTGTGTATGACAGAGTGATAGGGAGAGCCATAGAGGAAGTGTGTGTGTATGAGAGAGAGAGAGAGAGAGAGAGAGAGAGAGAGAGAGAGAGAGAGAGGGAGAGAGAGAGAGAGGATTTAACACCGTTTTTACTTAAAAGCATAATTTAGATACACCTTCAAATTTACTGACTGCAAAAAAAAAAAGCAATCTTTTTGCTCGTCCTTATAAAAAACAAATTATTTGCAAAACTTTAAACAGGAGAAAATTAGTTCCATTTCAAATACAAACTCAGAATACAAGCTATCTTATATTTCTGTCCGTAGTTACATCAATAAGCCCGTAGCTTAAAAAAAAACAGTTTATTTTACACAACAAATATTTATATAACAACGAATTGAATTTGATGACAGGTGTTAATCCCATTGATAAGCAGAATGTACAAACAGAAAAAACAAGTAAAACGAATTCTATAAGGCAGGGTTCGTAACCTACGGCACGCGTGCCACACGTGGCACGCCAAGCAATTTCCAATGCCACGCAGCCGCAAATGACGTCACGAAGTCCGAAGCAATAACTATGAAAATACAAAGAAGATATTTAGCTGTTTCAATTTTAATATATGTTAAAGTAGAGATTCTATATATTACTATATAAAATATATTGTAGAGCAAGCATATTGACCTTGACTTATAAATATACGTATGCTGTTGGCTCACTGAATGATTTTAAAACCCTAATACAGCACATAGTTAGCAAAAGGATGTCGACCCCTGCTATAAAACTCCGCCGTTTTTTTACGTCGTCTGGCAATAAGTGATCACTGATCTGCAAATGGGAGTGTTTCCTGCCGTGAAAGCGGTGTGGGTGGGGGCTATTTCTCTTGACTAATGCAGGTACGTTGTTCACACATATTAGTCATAGCTCGAGCAGTGGTGAGGAATCATGGCGGTGTCAAAGCAGCTTGTTCGGGATTGGCTTCTTTATGACTTTAAGATGGCCTTCCCTGCGGCCGCATAAAGTCGCCGAATACGTCAAGAGGTTAATACCACGATAGAACGCACCACCAGACATTGGTTCCATATGTTCAGCTCGAGAGTCACTTTGTGTTGAACCTCGCAGTGGCCGGTTACAGGTTCTGGATGATTGACGGCCCTGAAGGTGACCATAGAGGAGCACAACCACCAAAACCTGTGGTGTGCTTGCCGAGCGCTTCTAGGTTTCTGGGGAAACACTCAAACCTGCACCGCGTAAGAAAGGTGTACAGGTTGAGCAACACTATCGGAAGCCAACAGGAAACAACAAGTGACAGCCTGTTCCTCATAGCTTTTGCGGCACGACAACTTTCCTATATTTGATCGAGCGCTCACCAGTGATTAAAAAGTGGGCCCTGTATGACAACCACTCGGGATCATACTCTATATCTGGTGGACAAGTCGACAAGTGGCGCACTATGGGCTGCTACCAACGGGCCAAGGCATCATTACCGATCTGTACCCGCTGTAACTGGAACGTGTGTAACAGGAATTGAAACAGAAGGAGCCAGCATTAGTTAGTTGCAAGGGTGTACTATTCTTTTATGACAATACCAGGCATCATGTGGCGCGGGTGGCCAAGGATATCATATGACTGGGCCTCAACCTTACCCCCCAGACCTTGCACCAACGGATTTCCACCTTCATTACCTGGAAAAGCACCTTCGTGGGGAATCCTTAGCAAATATGACAGCTTGCGACATCCACTCACAGACTTGTTTGCGTCCAAGGGACTTGATTTTTACCGCTAAGGCATTGCACATCTGAAGGCACATTGGCAAAACGTTCTGGATGTCGATAGGGATTATTTTGACGACTATCGGTATGTCAAATTTGCTGTATACTTTTTTTTTTTTTTTTTTTTTTTTACTAATGAATCACAAACGCCAAGGACATTTTTACTTACTTTGTACATTTTGACTCTTCAAATAAACAGTATATACACGGACCAGAATGAAGCTTCTTTGTGGCCCTTTTTCTCTCGCCAAAAGAATTTGACAAACTTGCAAATTATAAAAAAAAACCTGGAAAAAGAAACTGCAAGAATGTGGTATTTAAATAGGAAAGTCATTAGTCATAGGAGCACTCGGAATTATTATAAAGAATACTAATACGCACATTAAGAAAATCGCAGGGTCAGTTTGACATACAAAGGATTTTATTCATGAGAATTACTCTTCTTCTCTGTGCCTTGTCCATTCATGACGTTAGTGATCTTGGTTCTCCACAATTTCCTCTCCTTTGTAGATCTTAATAAATTTTGTCTTTTTGCTTTCTCTCCTGATCCCTGCTCCACCAACCATTCACTTAAGCTCACCATTTATGCTACCCTTGCTTTGCATTCAATCTCCTGTGAGTATCCAATTCTTATCAATTCTTATCCATTCTTCTTTGCATTCAATCTCCTGTGAGTATCCAATTTTCCAAGCTCACTCTCCTCGCCTCTTCTTCTATGTGTAAAGTCCCTTCCGAAGGCTGGTAATCATGGCTCTCTACAATTTACCGTCCTTTCTAGGGCTTAATAATGTTTTTTGTTATCTCCCCTAAGCCCTGTTCTGTCATCTATTTACTAAAGCTCGACAGGTAGGTTATGCGTTGCTTTCCTCCGTCCCTCTTGCCGTTAATCTGTCCTGTGAGTATCAAATTTTCAAGTCCTCTTTCCTCATTATGTGTCCTGGAAATTTCAATTGTCTCTTCCTGATGTTAAGTATAAGTGTCCTTTTTGTTTCCATTCTCCTTGACATTACTCACATGTTCAGTCAATGTTATTCTCATCATCTATCTGTAGAACCACATTTATGTTACTTCGCGTCTTCTTCTTCTTCTTCTGTGAGGAGACTGTCCAGCTCTCACTGCCATGTAGGAGGACTTGTATTACATAACATTTCAGTACTCTTTTCTTTGTTTCTGTTATGGTCCAGGTTAGGACCAAGGAAGAATAACACGAACACAAGAGTAGAAATAACAGAGGTATATTACATGAAATAATAATACAAGATGTGGAAGGTGTTAGGATGACTGTCAGTCTGGTTTGGAGTGAACTACTGTCAGCTCGACTCGATTCGACCCTCTCTCTTGAGAGGCGTAGTATACATAGTGTTAGGAAGAGCTCATTCTGTAGTTATAGGTAAGGACCCATAACGGTTTCTAATGAGATTTTCCTGTTTCTTAATACTTTGCTTAGCTTTTGGAAGGCCTCTTTCTCTTTCCCAATGACCCTTCTGATTTCAGTGTTACACTTTCTGCCCTCTGTTAATGCACTTCTCAGATATTTAAATTGTAATTTGCATGTTGGTATGTTCCTTTTGCTACCAACCATGTATTCTGTTTTCTTTGGTGATTAGTCCTTTCTTCTCCCTTTCCTTCACTACCTTCTGTAGGAGTTATTGTGATTGACTTTCTATGTCTGCTATCAACACTGTGGCATCTGAAAATTTTATATTGTTAAGATTCATATACCCAGAAAAAAAACATCTATCAGGCTCAATAACTTACTACAAAAAAAAAAAAAACTTCTCTTGCCTTAGGTAAAATTTGATGCACACAGGACAGATTGAAGTCAAGAAGGACAGAGTAACTCAACGATTAACGTACCTGGCAAGGTTGAGTGAATGAAGAAGGGTTTGGAAGAGATATAAAAAAGGCAATATTTATTAAAAGCTACAAATGAAAGGAAATTGTGGAGAGCCCTCATCACAAACGTACTGAAGGAACACAGCACGGAGAAGATGAAGAGTGGTGCTCATGAGCACAATCCTTGTCATGAGATTCCTGGGATTTTCTTCATGTGTGTATGTTATATAGGAATAAAGTGTCGCTGCCGACACTGGGGTTTGAACACAGATCCCCAGTGAGCAAACACAGATGATTCCATTTCTAATAAGTAGACCACCTGATAGTAAAAAAAATGAATATATAGGAATTAGCGTGGCGTCTAACTGATCACCAGTTCTATTCTATCCTCTATTTCATTATTGATCACTCTTTCTACACTATCCTCTATCTCTATACTATTCACTATACTATTTTCTATACTGATCACTACACGCATTACTATTTGGTGGTTACTTTCCGAGCGTGTATCATCGAGCAATTACTATTAGTGCGAGTGTTATTCGAAGGCATCTGGCACCAGTATTGTGCAACGGCGTTACTATAGTTGAATCTGCGATTACAAAATCTGTACTACAACGAGCATTATGAAAGTGGCAACGAGTGTTCGTTGACATCAAAAAAGTCATTCAGTCTTTATTATTTCGGGTGCATCTATAATTATTAATGATTTAAAGGATTGTATCGAACAGCAAATCAGTAAAACTGAAAATAATAATAATACTAATTGTTGTAACCTAGAGAAGAACATGTTCACACCGCCAGCCAATTACGATCATACGCCATGAGTGCCATGCCTCTTGTAGAATCAGGGCACTTTTTATTATTATTGTTGTTGCATACTTACGGAAGATAACTACAGTAGTAAATACTGTATGTTGATCTGCAGTTGGAGATTCATTGTGGAATTCACTTGACTCACTTCTAGCAGTTGACTACTACTTCTACGCGCCGCTGGCGAATCTTATTTGTGCTGTTCGTGTATTAAGTATTATCGTTCATTACCAACCTTCGTGTGATTATTCTATTCAGTAACCTTTCATAAGTTACAACAATTATTCTAATAGCACTCGCACTAATAGTACTTGCTCGATAATACTCGCTCGTAAAGTAACCACTGTATTGATCCAAAAGAGAATAGTGTAGAAAAGAGAATAGAGAATAGCGGTCCGTATAGTATAGAGGATAGACTAGAAATACAGATCATTAGTCGTCAGGTATTTCCTATATATATACGTTTCCTTTATGGTCACGTGGTCTACTTAATTTAGTAATGGGATCGCCAGTGTTTGCTTACTGGCGATCTATGTTCAAACTCAAATGTCGGCAGCGACACTTTATTCCTATATAACATTCATTTCTATAAACTTTATTTTTACTGGGTACACCTGTTTGAGTTGCCATCATTGCATTAGATTTTCTTACACAATGAAGTTAATAACAACCGGCCTAGATCGAAAAGTCCTACTAAATGGTAGTCCATCTTGATAGGTAAATTTAGTTGTGTTTCTTCAAGATGGTCTCCTGTGGTCAAATTGCTAACGGCAATAGAAGTGGTTCCTTTGATAGAAAAAGGAGTACATGTTTGATTCCTGTCTGTATGGATATTTTCCTTCAGTGGGGCTTCTCAA